TTTTCTTATCAGGCTTTGGTTGCTATAAGCGAAGTGACAAAAGAAATCCACCAGGGAAATTCTGACTTCTTTGCTATAAGGTCAACTGAGTATGGTCGGTTCTTAGTGATATCGTTGGGTACTGGTTCAGCAAAATCTGAAGAGAAATATAATGCCGATGATGCAGCTAAATGGGGTCTTTTGGGATGGTTGACGAAAGGGGGTTCCTCTCCATTGACAGATGTATTTACTCAAGCAAGTAATGACATGGTCGATTTCCACCTTGCGACTGTTTTTCGAGCTCTTGACTGTGAGAAAAATTACCTCAGAATTCAGGTATTTGGGATATATTTACTGCCATACTATGAATCTATACCATAATCAATGATCCAAACTCACAGTAAAAATCGATAATTAACGGGTTGAAGTGAAAATATATATGGTGCAGGATGATACATTGGAGAAAACAGTATCTTCAGTGGATATTGCTACGCAAGAAAACTTGAATAACCTTGTAAAAGTTGGAGAGGAATTGTTGAAGAAACCGGTTTCGAGGGTGAATTTGCAAACCGGTATCTATGAGCCTGCTCATCAGGAAACAAATGAAGAAGCTCTCGTAAGGTATGTATATTTGATTACTCAACAATCTACTATGATTTTTTAGCATGATTATAAATATGTTATATTGATTAAACATTACTAATCACAATTAATTTTCTTAATTAATCTGCACGTATGTAGGGTGGCGCAAATTCTGTCCAGGGAAAGGAAGGTCCGTGAAATGAGATCACCACATGGAAAGGCTGTAGCTGACAGCAACTCCAACTGATGATCACATATTGCTAATCTCACACTTATTATTCCCTCTAATTAGATATTTTTTTAAATTAAAATAAAGCACTAAATAAATAAATAACCATATGGTGAAATTAGTGCTAGTAATTAATTCATTATTGTTCATATTGTAATTTAGTAGCAACCAGCATGTTGGTTGTGATCAGCAGTATTTACTTCATTCTTTATTTGAGTTAGAAATCAAAGTATTTTAATTTTACTATACTTTTCTCCTTTTCTTTTGCCAGTTTCTTGCCACACTTACTTAAAACAAAAAAACAAAAAAAGACCAACAAAAAAAAATTCAAAAGAAAAGAAAATCAATCTTTTGACGGGTCCATATGAATAGAGAGACAAAATTCAATCAGGAATTGGACTCTATCTGATTGTTTAAACAATGATTAAGCTTTTGCTTTGTGGACTTGTTGGTAACAATAATAATCCAAGTTGACTATTAACTCAGACCACCAAACAAAATGACCAAATGGTCAATATGCATGCTCCAACTGCTCTCAATATTTACTTCACAAGAATTTTCAAACCCTTTCTTTTAAGTTTGAATTTTATTGGCGACTGGTCGGGGCATAAAATAAACCATAAAATAATATAACCTCGTTTTCATAGTGTTTAAGGAACAATGATGTATTGTACGTCTTTGGTTCTATGAACCAATTCTCTTTTTCCAAAAAAAAAAAAAAGAACTATGCAAATGTGTTGCAATTAAGGGGTTTTAACGAGATAACTCTATACATGTCGGCACCACCGTGTATTCTTATTTTTATTAATGAAATTCGTAGCTTTCTTTATATATAAAAAAAAGATTAAAAATATATTTTTTGGACCAGCAACGTTTGTTTTATTTTGAAGTTTAATTTGTACCAGATACTTTACATTCGTATTAAAATGGATAACGACGCACATCATCATTTATGACTATCTATCCCCAATAAGTAAAAAATAAAATAAAAGAATTTATGTGAGCTTGCACTGGGTGGAGAAATTTTTAGATGTTCCGGGTACACCACGTGGCTGGTGTACCATTCAATAAACATAAGACATGTGGAATTATTATTTAACTTACTGCATTTCTTTTTATTACATGTGGCGGGCTGCATTGGAAAAATATTACATATGTCCTCCATCTATAGGATGATACACCAGCCACGTGGGTGGCTTTCCCCATCTTCCATCTCTCTCCTCATCTCCCTTTCTCCTTTCCTAGTTTTCTTCCTCTCTCCTCTTCTTTCCCCAGATTCGTTTGGATTTTAGGTTCTCTTGCCCAGATCTCTATCTGGATCTTGTCTTTCATTTGTTTTTTTTTTTTGTGTGTGTTTTCTGTTGTAGGTCTTTGGTGACTTTTGTTGTTCTTGGATGTGTCTTGCTATCGCTGGGATGGCTGCGATGTGGTATTGTCGACTCAGCTTTTTTCTTTGGTTTTCGTTGTGTTTTTTAAGCAAGTACTGCAATTCACCTTAGACGTCGTGATTTTGTTGCAGCTTTTGGTCTACTCACATGGATTTTGCTCCAGTTCAGTGTTTGGAGTTGGAAAAGTGATTGTTGCTGGTTTGTGTTCGATCGGGTTTTGCCTGTGCAAAATAAGAGGTTTAGCCATATTGGTGCTACGAGTCTCTTTGGTTTGCTGGAGAGGATGTGGTGTGGTGTCCTTGTTTCTTTGTTTATTTTAGTCTAATAATTCTCAGAAACTCAATAGGAGTTTGTTGATGTCTGTATTTAGTGTTCAACTTTTTTATGCAGATTTGTCGTTACTACCGTTGCATGCTGGATCTGTATTGTAGGTAGTACATGCGTTTTTGTCTACCGAATTGGAGGTTTTAGGTTTTTCTGGCAGGGTAATGCTAGCAACCTTCTCTCTAACCTTCTCTTTTGGACCTTCTCCCTTCTTCTCATGACAAGTGTCACTTTCCTTACACTTAAAACAATGTCATTAATGCATCACACAAACTAGTTTTTGTTTTCCATGTTTGAAAATGGTACTTAGGTGACGAAGGGTAAATTTAACTAAACAAACAGGACACAACAACACAACAATCAAGAGTACCACAAGGTACCTGCAGCCCTAGAAGATTACTAGTGACAACTTAGGCACTCAGAAGGACCCGTCAATCTAGGCATCCCCTGTGCTAGCAACAACTATGGTGAAAGTGTGTGAAGTCATCAATATCAAGTAAACAGCAAACAACATATATAGATGACTAGTCAACCATCAAGAACACAAACCCAGAAGAATTTACAGATATGCAAAACAGATTTTGTTTACCCAGAAACCCATCATTGGGAAAAACTGGGAGTCATCAACCGACTAGGCAATCCACTAAGTAGAAAAAGATTCTTACAAAGGAATACAAGCAAGCTCAAGAAAAACCTAGATCTATTTAGGAAGATGAGCTATACCTCCTATGTGCAATCTTCTTCTCCAACTTAGCAAAACTTGAAGCTCAGTTCTTCATGGCAATGGCAGCTCCTTCTCCAGCTCGTTCATCCCATGGCACTAGCTTGGAAGCTCCATCTTAGACCGAAACCAAAATTTGGATTCAAGGGAGAATGACCAATTTCTTCAAGAAACCATACTCTTGAAGAAATCAGTCTTGAATCTGACCTAGATCTAAATGAGAGAATGATTTAAATAGCTAGATGCAGATTCATATTTCAAAAGCAGTTTTTCAAAAAGAAATCAATCAGAAAAACTCATAGATGAAATATATGGTTCACTCTTAAGGAAGAAGAAGAAAAAGATGGCAAGCCAATCTTTCCAAAACTTCCACACAAAAGAGACGGCTTCCAAAAGAGGAATTCACTAGCCTTTACAGACAAAAGAATCCCATAGGTCAGACTGACACATGGCAGCAGAGAGAGAAAAGAGAATAGGACAAAACAGATGGTTAACCAGTTTAATGCATGATATGCAATGCATGATTTACCTTTGTCAATTTGCTTGAACCTCCATAGGATAGAAGATAGATAAGAACACCTAGAGATGCTATTCTTAATCTAGACTTTGAGCTTGATAAATACAATAAAAGTCCTATTACAAAATTGTCAAGGGAAGCCAAAAGAATTAATCAAAATTCATACATTAACAATGTTTACCCTTATTGAATGTTTTAACTCTTTTTAATAACAAGCTAGTTTTTTACAACTTTCTTACTACCTTGTTAAAAATTAAATAAGAAAATAAAAACTAAAGTTTTAAAAAAAAAAATTCCCAAAGATTATGTATGTTTTGTTAAACACAAAATAATGATGATATCACTTTCATGATAACAATGTCACGAAACAAACTTTTTTTTTTTTATAAAAAAATATGACGTTTTTTATTATGGTTTTTTCTTATTTAATTTTTAACAATGTGCTAAGGAAGTTGTAACAAAATTTGGATAAATTGAAGGAAATATAAAAGTTAATATATTTAATAAGGGTAAACTTAGAAAACAAAAACTAACTTGTGTGATGCATTAATGATATTGTTTTAAGTGTAAGGAAAGTGACACTTGTCATGAAGAGAAGGTAGAAGGTCCAAAAGAGAAGGTTAGAGAGAAGGTTGCTAGCATTTCTTTTTCTGGGATGCGTAATCCTCTCTAGATCAAACCAATTTATTTTTGTGTTTGGTAACTGGAGATGTTGTACTCATATTTGGCATTGCGGCTATTTTGTACTTTTTTCTGTGTTGTCAATAAAATTACTATCGCTTTTAATATATATATATATATAAAGAACTAATAATCTTAGTGTTGAACTTAAAAAATATATTTTTTGGACCAGCAAATTTTTTTTTAACAAGTAAAATTCACAATTGGGTCGTTCTTATAATCGGAAACAGGTCCTGAGCTACACTCTTGAGATGGGTTCTGCAGAAAAAATCTCCCAATGGAGGAGCGTCTTTGACGGTGTGAAACTGAAGACTATCAAAGCCATGCCGGAAGCACTCTTGGCAGAGATCAACACAGCAATTTGCAATCTTGAATATGCACGTGCCACTGATCTGCTCGACTCTCCATCTTCTTCTTCAATCTCAAAGTTTGAGAGCTCTCCTCAACCTGAATACAGTGCTCGCATGGCGGACTAAGCCTATAGGCAGGGTGTGCAGCCTTGGCTGCTGGCAAGCTTGA